GAACTCCCGTAAAATTTGCGGGAGTTCCAGCATAGTCATCCTGGAACTCCCGTAAAATTTACGGGAGTTCAAGCATACTTATGCTGGAACTCCCGTAAAATTTGCGGGCGTATTTTTCCGGATTTTGAACAGTGTTTTTGCTCAGATTTAAAGTGGCTAAATTTCGATGACTTTTGAAACTTAGCTATTTTTCAACGACCAATGGTAAATCTGGCTATTTTTGAATTTCTCCCCTATTGCCATGTATTCCAAATGGAGTGCAGGCAAAAAAGACGGCTAGGTGTCAATTCACCACGAGATCTGTTGGTTGCCAAAGTAGACCCCTCATTTTAGTCTTCAAATAAGTTTTACTCCTTATTTAATAATAATAATAATAATAATAATAATAATAATAATAATAATAATCACTTTAAAACAACGAAACAACTTTAAAGACGAAAGAAGAAACTTTTTTGTTGTTTCAGGTGACCCCGTTTTCGAAAAAAAAAAAAAAAACCACGTGAAACAAAAGAAAGTTCTTTTTTTTTTAAATGCCAAGTAGATAAGTGAGCATAAGAATCACTACTTTGTTTTGAACTCTATCAGAGCCAAACAAAGAAAGAAGCGTTATGGAGAAAGAAAACGGACAAAAGATATCTGACTTTGTTTGTTGCGAAGGTTTAAGACTGTCCTTTTTTTTTTTTTTTTAATTTAATCCTAACCAATATAATTCAAAAATGAAATTCCTCTAAATATAATGTGGTGCTCCTCATTCCATTTATGTTACATCACATATAATGATCAAGTTTTTATGTTACTTGTTATCTTACACGCTTTAAAGGGGATTGTCACATAAATAGTCGGCCATATTTACTGTTTATTTTTTCTAGTCGGTATACATAAATTATATATTGAATATATATTGTTATACACATAGTATACATGAGTTATGCATATCTTATACATGGATCTGTCGGCTTTTTTTAATTTAAGAGATTAGGCGTGAGTTGCTATTTATGTTGGGCTAAAACGGCTCAATGACACTCTTAACATGGTGTGATATTGTCCGCTTTGGGCCAAGCCCGCACGGTTTTCCCCAAAAGGCCTCACACCATTAAGAGATCCCTACACCTTATATGTAGACTCCCAATCTTTTCAGCTACCAATGTGGAACTTTTTTCGCACACCCAACAATTTAGGTTAATTCTTCTTGAAGAAAACGTCTCCAGGTGAAGTTATATTACCATCACATCCATTTATTCTGAAACAAAATTCCTCATCTCAATTAAAAGTTGGAACGCAATGATCTGAGATGATGAGAAATCAGTATCTATAAATTTGATGGACCAACCATGGCGTGGGAGGTGAGATATATCAATAGCTCTCATTCGCCACAAACATAATCTCATTTTTCTTTTTTATTTTTTGTGACAAACATTCGCTACGGTACGGTAAAGTACACATATAGCCCTTAAAGTGGACGGTCTTGAATTTTTATCCCCGTTTGCCTCATTAACAGGACTTCAAGTTTAACAAATATTGGCTCTCGCTTGCTCCACGAGCAACACTTTTAACTTTTGACCTTGAAATTTTGCATTAGAGCAAGCGGGAGTCAAAAGTTAAAGACCACCCCTAAAAGTGTCATATTTCTGCAATTTATGTGCATAAATTATATATCCACATGTACATGAAAGCACTTGGATCCATGTTCCAACTTCAAACATATAACTCCATTTTCGCTATTCTTTTTCCCACTGGCCACAATTTTCATATATATACACACACTTGAGGGCAAGATAATCGATGCTGCACCTACATGTTTGAGTATAGAGTCCATATGTGAGAACCCATGTACTCCTTTTTATATAGGAGTGGTAAACAAAACAAAATATGACCTATTAAACAACTATTTCCCAGTCTATGTGACTTCTGATCAAAGAGTGGCTAAGCTGTAACTCTAACATGGCCTTGAAGGCTGGCCTGGGTTACATTTCAATACGAGTATACTGTGGACTTCAGACCAATTGAGAGATATATTTAAATTGCTTGATTCTATTCAAGAGGTCATGGGTTCTCTCCATCCTTTGTCCCACCTCACCTACCCAACCTAACAAGTTGTTTGCTGCAAATTCAAGAAAAGAAAAAAGGTAAAATGAACAACTCAATTTACCAAGGCAATAGAGCAAACAGAACCTAACTCCCTCTCTCTCCTCAGAAGTGAAAAAGAAAGAAGAGAAACTAACACATGCCAAAGAGCAAAATAATCAAATATGTAATCAGATCTAGGATCTTGAATTAATGAGTTCGGAATAAAAGTAATTTATAAAATGCATATATGTTAGTTTGTTTTATAGCAAAAATAATGAATTGACTAATAGGGCCTTATTGACAGTTTCTTTAACTGCAGCTCAGATGGACATGTCGCAGATTTGAATATTATAACATCTCAAAAATCGATCAACTAAACTAACTTTTACCAATTAAAATGCGTTAGATACAAGGAGCTTTCTCTCTCTACCTTCACTCGTGCTCTCGGCGCATGTTAGCTAAACATACACCGGTGTGGCCATGGCAGGAGCGAGAGGTTGGGGACGAGGAAGGGGACACGGACGACCAAGGAAAGTACGTATAGTAGCTTTTAGGAGGTCAGTTGGAGCTCGAATTAAAGGAGATGGAACACCTAAAACAGCAACAACGGCTTCCCCTGTTCAAATGGCTGAAGAGATTAGATCTGTGGAGGTAGGATCTACATCGAGTGCTAGTGGGATTCCAAAGAAGCTGGTAATGACGGAGCCTATGAAGAATACAACAGAGGTGATACCCCAGAGAAATGTAGAGGTGAAGGCAGTACAAGCCAATGAAACAGTGATTCCAGTGCAAGCCAATGAAATGATTCCAGTACAGAAATCAGCTGAACGAGTAGCGGAAATAGCAAATCCGGTGGGTGCATGAGCAAATCTGTTCAAAGGAAACAGATCTGCAACTAATGGCATGTCACTAACCTACATCCCACCACAAATTGTTAATGGCCGAACTGTAGTGCAATTGGAAGCTGAGGAAGTAGAACCAGAGGAGGAAAAATGGAACTTTGCTCTAATTGTCTATATCATAGGAGAAACACCTGGATACAACGCTATGAGCAGGTATATTAGCCAAAATTGGTTGAATATAGATACTCCAGAACTGTATTTACATGATGAGGGATATTATGTGGTCCGATTCAATTCAATAACTGATATGCATATTGTTTATTATGCTGGACCATACACCCTTAGTAATCGCTCTATAATTTTGAAGCCTTGGACAACGGATTTTGATTTTAGCAAAGAATTTCCCACTGAGATTCCATTATGGGTCAAATTCCCTAATTTGCCTATAAATTGCTGGGGTAGCAAATCCTTGAGTAGGATAGCAAGTGCGTTAGGGACTCCTGTATTTGCAGATGAGTGTACCACAAAGCAAACAAGGATATCCTTCGCGAGAATGTTGGTGGAAATAAATATCAGCCGTCCACTCCTTGATGAAATTACAGTAGTTGATCCAAAAGGGAAGTATTTTCAACAAACTGTGACACATGACTGGAAGCCTGAATTCTGTGGAGTATGTCAAGTAGTTGGGCATAGATGTCGTGAAAAGGGGAAAGAGGATAATCAGCAAGATGCACAACGTAAAAGAAAAAGGAGTAATAAAGCTATTACACAAGAATATAGATGCAAAGGTCCTGTGCAAACAACTTTAACAGATGGAGAGCAAGTAAAACCACTTAAGGAGGACAAGCAGCAAAGTCAACAACTAAATGAAGAGAAAAGTGTTACTCTTGCTGGTAGAGTAGAAGAAAAAACATAAAAGAGTAGAGGGAAAACTATAGCAACAAGCCCAGAGTTCAACCTTCAAAACTTTCCCATACTGTGTTCTGTACCAATTAAGAATGGATTTGAAGTTATACATGGAGGAAACAGTGAAGGTCAAGGCCTACCTCTGGATAGAGGGGGGATTCAAAACTATCTAATGAATTGGATATTTTGGAATGTTAGAGGAATAAATAAGAGGTATAAACAGAAGGAGTTGGGGAATTATTTGAAAACAAAAAAATAAGACTGGCAGGATTAATAGAAATAAGTGTCGCGCCCCCTTTTTCCTTCGCGAAAATCGGGTTTATGACATTCGGTTGGGACAACTCTTTCCTTTTGGGAAAGGAGTTTTGAAATTTTGAAGAGTCGCCACCTAACGATTTTAAGGTACGTTAGGGCACCTATAGGGTTCAACTACAACTACATTTGATAACAAGAGATGAAATTATCCCAAGAGGAAGGTGTTAGGCACCCCTCAGGATCCACTAGTGTGGTTCCCTGCCAGATAGTTCTTTGTGAATTTATGCAATTAACAAGTAAACAAACAAGTCTCAAATAAGAGAGAATTTTAAATACACAAGTGTTTTGAAATGATAAAGTAAAGCAAAGTTTTGAAAGAGTTATAACTAAGCATGCTGATGAATATAAAGGGTCCTAGGTTTATTTGTAATATGGATCACATCAATGCAATACCCGGTAATCACTCCTCAAAAGAAGGGCTACACGTGGTATTAGCGCACCGGTCATCATATCCATATCTACCCTTCCCACCCCGTAAAGGTATTTAAAGTGCGGATTGGTCTCTAACTCTATTGCGTGCTATTACCCCTCCCATTCCTATCAGTCCCGGAGGAATATAGGACTACTATTCCTATAAATAGGGAGGATTTAGGCTGACTCTTAGGTTTAAAGGCAAAAGGATAAGGCGACATACAAAACACGTAGGACTTCATTAAAAGGAAACATGTAGGCAGTTAGAGGCTCATATATTCCTCCGCAAATAATACATATAAATAACACGACTCAAGCACAGTTAAAGTCTGAGATTTAAAAATCCTAATATAGGGGAATTGAGTTAGAACCACATTCATTATATAGCTCAGATAAGAAGTCTGAATCAGGCCTGCCTACTGGTTGTAGCAGTTGCTAATTAGATAAAGGTGGATCCTATTTTATCATTATTATTGCCTAAGGCTTGCCTAGGCGTAATAGTGATGTCCTAGGAGCATGATATCTATTGCTGGTTAGGAACGTAGTAAAGTAGTAAACAGTTCTAAACGAGCGATTTGGATCCTATAGGCATGCTTTCTAAACCGCATTGATAAAGGAGTAGGTTGTTTAAACTAATTCAGAATAGTACGAGTCAAACTGATTTATGTCTAAACTGGTTTTACACCCTATAGGCATGATTTCTATTATAACTGATTTTTATTCCTACAAACATGGTATCTAGGTATTTAAGGCTAATTTTGGTCTTATAGGCCTGGTATCTGATTGAACATGAAATGGAGTAGGCAGGATTTATTTGATCCCAGCGGAATTCCTATAGGCATGATCTCTATAAAAAGATTGATATTAACCTTATAGGCATGACATCTAATTTAGAAGCTGATCTTAACTTTGTGAGCATGATGTCTGATTATAGCCATTAGATCATATAGGCAGGATATCTAAGTGTGGAAGTAAATCATGCAGAACTTTAATTAAACAGATCCTATAAGCAGGACATCTAAGTGTGGAACTAAAGCATGCAGAATTTACTAAACGGATTCTGTAAGCAGGATATCTAAGTGTGGAAGTAAGACATGCAGAATAGATCCTATAGGCAGGATATCTAAGTGTGGAAGTAAGACATGCAGAACAGATCCTATAGGCAGGATATCTACCCTTACAACATGCATAATTGCCCCATCCCCTTTTTACTAGCCAAACCTCAATGTTTGTTATAAATTATTACAGACCAAATACTTAAATTACAAAAGAAGTGCAGAAATGAGAAATCACAACCAAAAGAAGCATGATCTTGACTTCCTGTTTGAGTTATATAATTAATCACTTCAGATGCCCGTGGTGTTCAAAGCCTTTCTCAATACCTGGGTGTGTCAAAGTTCCCTAAGGGTCTCAAGGGATCCCGGGCAGTGCTTACACCCAGGTTTGCATAACCAGACAAGAATGAGTGTAGTGTGGAAGGGCCAGCCCTTATGTGTCCAAGTTCAGTGGGAGCTCAAAGGTCCCAAGGCAAGGTTCACACAAGAGGGGCAGAACCTAGGTTCTAAGAATATAGTGGAAGTGTAGGACAGGGATTGATTAAAACTGAGTTGGAAATAGTAAGTACTAAAGGGTGATTTGAAAAAAAAACAGTAGTAGTAGAGCTTAAAATACACAGAAATCAGTAGTTACACAAAGGGGTCGAGTGGTCTTGGGAATACATTGTATGAAGCATATGACCCCAGAGAGGGACAGGTTTGGTCATGCACAGCAATAGCTGATGTTGGCATGGACACAAACCAACAAAAGGAAAAACACATAGAGGGGCTATGGGGTTTGGGATTCATAAGTTAGCAAATCACATAACAAGCGACTGACAGAGTGCATACATAGGGAAACATTAATCTAAAAGGGGAAGGGAACATATTACAGCATGCTAGTAATGTAAAAAAAGACTGCAAAAACATAAGCAGAAGTACACAAGAATGAGAAAACTGAAGCAACTAAAGAAAGCATGTTGTTGTTGAGGCTTGAAAAAATTAACTAGGACATACCAGTAGAGAAGCAAAGTGCGGTAAGGAAAAGAAGCAAGATTCCACAGTCTAGCTTTGGCTTTCAGCCGGCTAGCCAAAGCAATAGCACAAATAGCAGTAAAGAAAGAGAGTTTTAAGTGTGAGTGTGTGTTTTCGAACTCAAGTTGTTCGTCTCTTAAAGAAAAGAGGGGGTGGGTATTTATAGTTTTGAAAACAAGTAATAAGTAAGGTAATAAGTTAAGTCTTAACACAAACATGAAAACAATCACAAGTCAGAATCAAATAACACAAGTGATTCCCTTTAATCAAGGAATCACTGTTTAACGGGTACTAACAGGTTTCATTTAAGGAAAGAAAAATCAAGTTCGGACAGATTGATTATTGCCATATAAGGGGCAGTAAAAGCATGCAGTAAACTATAAAGTCCAAGTACAAAATAGGCTTATTCTGAAAAGAATTCAGCAAGGTAAAATATCGCAGTAAAGGGAAAGGAATCAATTAATTTAAACAAGCGAGTGAAATAAGGGTTAATAAAAGAAAAGCTTTTGCAATCAGTCATGTCACACCTCCTTTTTCACTACTACACCCGTGAGGGTGTAAAGGAGTTTTTCCAATTAAAGGACAATCGGAACGGGATTTATTATTAATATTCAGAGTCGCCACTTGGGAGATTAATGGTGTCCCAAGTCACCGGTTGAATCCCGATCCGAGGAAATTATGACTCTGTTAACAGTCCGCGAACCAGAACTCCGAGTAAGGAATTCTGTTAACCCTGGAGAAGGTATTAGGCATTCCCGGATTTCGTGGTTCTAGCACGGTCGCTCAACTGCGGTATTTGCTTTTATCTGATTTTAAAACATATTCTAACCTATGTGCCCTTTATTTTAACCACTTTTACTTTATGTCTTTTAATAAGAATTGCAACGTCGTGAAAATGTATCTCGAACCACGTTACACCAGTGCACCCGTGGCTTTTGACTCATTTCGACTCCGCTGAGATTTAGATTTGGGTCACATAAATGTGCACCCGTGTTTAAGAAAGTAATATTACTAAAATACGCTCCTAGAGCAACCACGCGTCTTAGCTTTGCGAGGGCCATGAAATTTTGCTAAATGGCACGCCTCGGATTCTAATTGTTTTAAAAGAAGTATTTGAACGGGGCCAAGCATCTGAGATTTTATCGGGCTTGGCGCGCCTCAATTAGTTCTAGCTTAAAGGTCTTAAACTAATTCATGAGGGTCGCGCACTACGAGTTATCTAATTAAGGCTCACTTCAATCTAGTTAATGGGCTTAACCCGCTAGAACTAAATGTGATTAAAGGCTTCCCTTCGACTGACTAATGATTCACACGAGGAGAGTTACTTATTTCGGGCAAGGGATCAGTCTAGCACAAATGGACCGAGGGTCCAACTAATAAACCTGATGTGATTAAACATGGTTGCAGATTTAACACCTGAAGAAATCGGGCTCCAAGTGAAGCCAGGCCCAGCGACGTGAAATCAACATTGGGTCCAGTATGGGGTACAGTGGTCCACAGGCGTAAGACTACTTTGAGTTCCGAATTGATATCAATCCAAGTGGGCTCATGAGAGAGCCCATTTTTAACGCAGGCCAGCTTCAAACAGAAATGAATTTTCTGGTTCGATACCACACAACAGGAAGTAGTCTTCGCGTTTGATTTTACAATACATGTTATTTTGCCTCAAAGGAATTAAACAATTTCCGATTCTAAAACACATTTCAATACTTTCCATGCAAACACCTTAATCCAAACATCAATACGAGCCTCATTTAAATTATAGCCACCATCTGGGAATCATTATTGAAACTAACACATGATTGTTCCAGCTACTTGCTCACCAAATGATCATTCTGTTCCATTTCCTAAATTATTAACAGGCCTATTCGAATTAATACAACGGGCTGTAGAAATAGGTTCATATTCAAGACTTCTAGTTCTAACCTTTATATGCAATATTCAGATATTGAGACCATGAACTACAATCAATTCCAAATGTCTCAACAGTATCGAAAACAGTCTGATCCAGTCCTAATTATACAGTCCAGATTTATACACATACAAATCGATTCTAGGCTATGCTGTACAATTAAACTTAACGCCTATTTAACTACCAACACCCACAGTCCAGGCAGCATATTTCAGGATCAAGTAAGAGAGTAATTGTATTCCATTTCAGCTCAAAGTTACNCCTAAATAGTTCCACCACAGACGTAACTCCAAAGGGATTTTA